CTATATTTTTAATATGCTAGTTGTGATAATTTCATGCCAAGTAAAAATGTCCATAGTCATATTTTATGTTCGTAAAGTAACAGAATGACTTTCTAAAGACAAAAGAAATGCTAATGTAGCATTTTTTTCAATTTTTCCGAAAATTTCCGTTTTTCCCTCAAAGAAAAACTGGGAAAAAACGGGGGTTTTCCCGAGCTTCAAAATTTCCGGAAATTTTACATCTCTATCCTAGACTCCACCCTCCAAAGCAGCCATTTCCTCCAGGGGAACCGATCGCTGCCGTCTAGGGAGCAGTCGTCATTTCAGGCGATCTCCAAGGCCCCACCTGGAGGCTGGCAAACCTAGGCCACACCCAAGCCGAATACCTGCCAACCAAGGAGGAACAGAAACTCAACCCAGTTCTGTTTCAGCAGCCGTAACGTCTCCTCCGCCTTCCCCCTTTGTTCTGTGGAGTCTTTCAAGATGCCACAAGCCTTCCCTGTTTCTTTACTTTGGTCACGGTCAGCGCAACTCTCCCGATTGTCCCCAGCAGCTGCTCATTAGAAGACAAACCGTCCCTGGTCACAGGTCTGCGGAGGAGGAAGAGATGGTGGATACTATCGTGCCAGTTGTCACTGGAGCCCTTGGGGCCGCGCCTAGAAGCCTCAAGAAACACCTGGACATTCTGGGCATTGTGCAAGAGATGGTGGATACTATCATCATGGCAGTTGTCACTGGAGCCCTTGGGGCCGCACCTAGAAGCCTCAAGAAACACCTGGATGTTCGGGGCATTGCGCAAATAACACCAACTCAGCTCCAGAAGACAGCGTTGCTCGGAACAGCAAGAATCCTGCCAAGATACCTCTGCAATTGCCAAGAACTTGGCTGGACCTCAGATGGCAGAGCACCATCCACCAGCCAAATATCTGGCGGTGAATCATAACAACAACAACAACAACAACAATAATAATAATAAATAACAACAACAACAACAACAATAATAAATATCTTGACCTGGATGGCTCTTGCAAACCCCATCTGAACGCCTCTTGCCTCAAAAACCCCATCGGGATGCCATAAATCAGCTGTGACTTGACACCACGTTCCATCACAATCTTACTACTACTACTACTATTAAATTCAGGCGGGTAGCAGTCTTGGTCCGAAGCAACAAAACAAAGTTTGAGTCCACAGCACGCATACCCCGAATGAAACTTTGTTGGTCTTAAAGGTGCCACAAGCCTGCATGCTCACGGAAGCTTATAG